AAAAAAAATAAATAAATAAATAAATAATATATATATATATATATATATATTTAGTGGCAGAAACAAGCTGGCAGAAACACTGTATTTGTATTGTATTTTGTATAGGCTATTCAACAACACCTATTATATTATAGTATTATATTATATTATATTGTCAAAGTGTTTTCTTTAAATCTACCTAGTTTAACTTAAAAATGTAAGTTCAGTTGCTGCCTTAAATGCTTGAGAATAATCAAATTGGAAAAAGTCATATTAATTACATTTTTTTTTTTTATCTTGCCTAGTTGAATCTCGAATAACTTAAACAATGAAGTTGAAATTGTTTACATTATTTTAAAAATGTTAAGTAATGGAAAAAACATGTTTGCAATGACTTGTTCATATTATATTTACAATGCACTTTATGTGTGCATTGATTGTATGTTACACAGTTTTCCATTTACTACACTCTGAGAGCTATAAAAAAAACATGTAATATACACATACCCATTTTTTGAGCTGTTGATGCACAGGGACAAGCCAGGTCTTGATCTTGCTCTGTCTTCTTGTTCCTGTTGACAGACTGTTGGTTTTATACCAAACTGCAAAGCCTGGTACTACATCTCTATAGGCTAATTTCTCATTTTTACTGACAAGGTCCTAAAATGTGGCACCATAAGCCCACATGATGAAATGATTACAGCTTTATTTTGATTACATGATTACATTTTTTTTTTTACAGCTTACTCTATTGTTTTTTCTATTCACAGTGAGTAGTGGGCATGTTCCTACAGCAGAGTCTTTCCTGCCACACTAGAATATTCTTGCTGTTTGATACTGTCATTGGATGGCAATATGAAGTAAAAAGCAAACATTAAAGGCTAGAAGCACAAAGACAAGTATGCGTGTTTATTGTTTATCTTGATATTTCAGTAGCAATACGGAGAATTGCTACCGGATATTTAAAATGTAATTCATTGAATCTGCTGTCATTCTACCACAGAACCAGTTTTTCTTACTAATATTAACTATATCAAACTTAATTTTTCTTGTTGTCTGGACAATCTATAAAAATATGTATATGTCTGCACACACACACACACACACACACACACACACACACAGGTTTGTTTTTGTGAAAAGTGGGGACATCCCATAGGCGTAATGGTTTTTATACTGTACAGACTGTATATTCTATTGCCCTACACCAACCCTACCCCTAAACCTACCCCTTACAGGAAACTTTGTGTTATTTCAGATTTTCAATACACTCCATTCTGTGTGATTTATAAGCGTTTTGAAAAGTGGGGACATGGGGTAATGTCCTGAAAAGTCACCTTCTCCTCGTAATACCTATGTTATACCCTTGTCATTATACAAATTTATGTCCTCATTTGTCACAAAAACGCGCACACACTCACGCACACGATTAGGCGTAATGGTTTTTATACTGTACAGACTGTATATTCTATTGCCCTACACCAACCCTACCCCTAAACCTACCCCTTACAGGAAACTTTGTGTTATTTCAGATTTTCAATACACTCCATTCTGTGTGATTTATAAGCGTTTTGAAAAGTGGGGACATGGGGTAATGTCCTGAAAAGTCACCTTCTCCTTGTAATACCTGTGTCATACCTTTGTCATTATACAAATTTATGTCATTTGTCACAAAAATCCACGCATACACACACACACACACACACACACATAAATAAATAGAAATAAAATCACAAAATTATTTTTATAATGTAGTTACTTTTCTTGCAAAGACAAAAAATCACATTTTAGTTAACATTCTCTTTCATTTATATGGGATTTCTTGCAAATCAAAAGCAAAAACACATTTTAGTTCATTATAAAAACAAATACGCAATACAACTACCAATTTCTTGACATCAGTGCAAATGAATGAGGCATGCATTCCAGCTATTTATATATTTATGGCACAGTATGGTTGGCACATCAGCTTCCATCTCACAATTAAAAAAAAAACGAATGCAGAACACACTGTTAATGTTTTGTCTACACCGCTTCTATGCTAAACTGTATGTGTTTCTCCTTTTTGTATATGTTATTTAATTTAAATACACATGTGGCATTATGAATGTTTAACCCTCAAGCGTCAAAGACTGGGTCAGACTTGGTCCCGTTCCACTCTGGGAATGAGATTTGCGTTGGGAATGGGAATGTTGCGAGAGGAGAGCCAGGTGTTCCTCTGCGAATGCGCTCTCGAACACCATCACCAAAGATTGCTTGAGCTTTTTCTGAAACTCTTCACACATGAACACGTACAAGAAGGGATTCAGGCAGCTGTTCAAGTAGGCAAGACTGACTATGAAGAGCCCCATCTGGTCGAAAACATTCTGGAAGCTGGTCAGCTCATCTGATGTGTCTGCATCATACATTTCATACAACGACACTTCGAGAAATTTGTAAATATAAAAGGGAAGCCAGCAGAAGAAGAAGGCCAGGATTACTGCTAGGATAATACGGAAGGGTTTTAGTTTATTGTCTTTCCTGAGGCGCTTAACTCGTACTCCGATTGCCATGTAGGAAGCCAAAATTATGACGAACGGGATGAGGAAACCCACCACAAAACGGAACACTACCACCCTCTTGTAGGCGTCCAGACTTGAAAAGCCAGGTATGCACAGGGTTTGTTGCGGAGAATTGGAATGCGTTTTCCGAAAGATGACTAAAGGTAGACTGCAGGAAACTGCAGCTAACCAAATAAACAGGCAAATTATCCTCGCTTTCAGGACGGTTCGTTTGGTCCGGGCCCACACCACCACCCAGGTGGACAGGCAACGGTCCAGACTGATCGCTGTCAGCAGGAAAGTGCTGGCAAACATATTCAGCACAGTCACCAGGCTACTCAACATGCACATAAAGTCACCAAAAGGCCAATCTGAATCGCGATATTCATAAATTATAGTAAAGATCAGGAAAAATGAAAACAGGAAGTCAGCTACCGCCAGGTTCAGAAACCAAATGGTATTGACGGTCCTTTTCATTTTGAGGCCTGCGATGTAGATGACCATTCCATTGCCAGCAACACCAAGCACACATATTATGCAGTGCAGGAAAACATTGATGTTCTTTAAGTATTTCACTGTGGCATCTGTGCTGTTGGTTGATGGGGCTACGGTTTGGTCTAAAGTAAAAAGAAAAAAATAAATAGCTAGAAATTGGTCAGTCCAAAGATGAAAGCCAATGAACAACAACCATCAACTGAAAGGTGAAATAGAGCTACTTAAATACAGGGCAAATGAGAAAACTAATAACAAAACATCCATGACAACTAATACGTGGTGGGAACAAAGGACAATAGGAACTTATGAAAACAAACTAGAAGTCTATGAAACAAGAAGCTAAGACAAAATAACTGAAAGTCTGTGACAGAAACACAAAGGAAGTAGGCCTATGCATATTCGTTGTTTATCTCGATATTTCACTAGAAATGTGGAAGATTGCTAAAGAATATTTTGCAATGTTGTTCAATGAAACTGCTATGTCATTTTAGTAGGAAAAACAGCTGTACTTACCCATTTTGACTTTATTTGTTGAAGAGGCTAAAAAAATATAGACAAAATAATTAATAACGAAAATCCATAAATCAATATCTGTAACTGAGCATTATCAATATTTCAAGTTAATTCGAATGATTTTCAAAATACATAAGGTGCTTTGGGTGATGGTTAAGGGCTGTTAAAGGCACAAATCAATTTAATTAATTTGGAAAGCATCAAGGAAATAAATGTGAGGGAAAAAACAAAGCAAGAAATTAACTAAACTAACCCTTGAAAAAACTCAAATAAAAAGTGGAAATGAATAAGAAGATATTGCAAGAAATGTTAAACCTGCTCAACATTTAAACTAAAAAGAGCTTTAAGTAAAAAGGTCAATCACCTTACCAGTTTTCTGTGTTGTACTGCGAGTTGATTGGAAACTGGTCTGGTCCATATCACTTGGTTAAATATCGTTTTAAGAGTAAGAGAGGATGACTTATCACATTGACAGGAAACTCAGAAATCAATTGCATAAGTACTGCTTTCTGAAGTTTTTCCAAAGTCACTGAAAATCTGATGATGTTTTGGGTCATATTTATGAAGTATAGAAAATTCTAGAAAATATAATCATACATAATCATACATGTAACTTGTAGTCGTAGGTTGTATAGAGATTGGCCTCTGAGTGTTAGTCAGAGTTTCCAGGATGCGCCACGTGGAGGCTCTCTATGTGCATCACTTTTTATGTGATGTTCAATGGGAAAAAGAGCCGGTGGTTCAACCTGAAGAATGGCCTCCCCCAAGGCAGCGTACTTGCCCCGACCTTGTTTTAACATATATACCAATGATCAACCCCTGCCATCCAAATGCAGCAGATTTATCTATGCTGACGATCTGTGTTTAACAACTCAGCATAAGGCCTTCCCAGACATTGAAACTATTATAGAAAAGGCCCTATCAGAGATGTCTGTATATTATCAGGAAAACCACCTCAAGGCAAATCCGAGTAAAACCCAACTTTGCAGCGTCCATCTTAATAACAAACATGTAAAGAGACAGCTGAAAGTAATATGGGACGGACTAGAACTGGAAAACCTTAGATCGTACGCTGTCCTATAGACCAATTATAGGTTTGTAAACATTCAGGATGCGCGCACATCATGGTTGCAGAAAACCCAGGAGAGATAGCCTTTATGGCTAGAGAATTTCACAGATACGGTACAAAATAGTTAGGTTTAAAAAGATTATAAATTATATTGATTAGATGTCATTTTCAAAATGTTCTCCGCATATTACAAGAGCTTGTCAGTGACGTAACTGTGACGTCTACTCTAAATTGGTCTATAGAGAGCATATCATCAGACTGAAATCAAAGATCAGCACAAGAAATAATCTTCTCAGGAAATTAACCAACAGTAAATGGGGAGCTGACCCAAACACAATTAGAGTATCAGCTCTTGGACTATGCTACTCTGTAGCAGAATACGTGTGCTCTACCTGGAGTAGATCATGCCATGCACAAAATATTGACACATCTCTCAATGAAACATGCCGGATAATCACTGGCTGTATAAAAACTACTCCCACACCCTGCCTACATGCCTTGGCCGGAATAGCACCTCCAGATATAAGAAGAACTGCTATTAGCAATGAGGAACGGACCACTGCAGAGACAGATGAAAGGCATCTGCTCTTCTCCCACCAAAAGCCAATAAAGCGTCTTAGGTCCAGAAAAAGCTTTATGGATACCACACAAGCCATAAGCACATCCAAGAAAGCCTTTATTGAAACTCTTTGGCTTGATAGATGGAACGCCATTTTTGTGGGAGCAAGATCTTGGGAAGCCAGAGGAATCATCCCTGTTGAGTGTCTAGCCAGCGGCAACAATCAACCATGGCCTATCTGGAAGTCCCTCAACAGGCTACGAGTAGGCCATGGAAGATGCCTACAAACGTTACATGTTTGGGGTCTCCCAGTCCGCCCCTCGTGGAAATTAATGGCGCAAACACGCGGTTTCATTTACTACACATAGGCCTACTGAAGCTCGCGGTATTTTCAGCCTCTGC